GGTGGCAGAAAGTGATAGAAAGAACATGAGGTTGGGAAACCAGACAGACCAGGGTTTGCCAATTGGCTCTGACATTTGCTTTTCTGAGCCTCAGTGTCCTAAGCAAGAGAATGAAGGAAATCAGGCTTTCTTCAAAGGCTTAAATGAGGTGAAAATAAGAATCGCTGAAGCTTACCAAGTGCTCATTTTGTGCCAGGCACCGGCTGAACGTGTAATCTACTTACAATAATAACATTATGAAGTCGATACTATTATCCATCTTATACATAAGGACACTGAGGCACAATGAGGTTCAATTACTTGTCCAAGGCACTCAGCCTGCACTTGACAGAACCAGGATTTAAATCCAGGTGTTTTGGCCCCAGCATCCTCAGGCTTAACAGATCTACGCTACTGTGTTCGCATGAAGCACTTGATACAGTACCAGGCAATTGGAGACTTACACAAAGGAAAAACTGAACAAGAGCAGTGGTGTAGGGGGAGAAAGAAAGAATCTTCACCCCATCTCTTTATTGGCATTCTAGGTCTCCCAAAGGTAGATGGTGAGGTCTGTAAAAGACTTGAGCTCTCCCACGACCCAGAGTTGCCCTTGTCCTGGCCTCCTCTATGGAAGGAGGAATATAGGATAAATCACCCACCACACCCACCCAGCGTTAGCAGATATGCAGTGACACACCCTGGCATCCCTCAGTGACAAACCAAAGGCCTACAAGCCCAGCACGTGTATTTCAACTCTCTTACCTTAGAGCAAACTCTCCAACTCGCTAGGGAGAGTCCTAATCCTGGCATCTTGGTGACCTAGCAGCTCCCAAGTCCCCTTCGCTATTTCTGGGGCAGGCCACAGTACCCTCAGTGCTGCCGTCCCAGAGTTCCTGGTGTCAGATGAAGATAAGCCCCAGACCCCTCATGTGACGTGCACACCCACAGAAAGCAAACCTGGCTGTACACATTATTCTGTGTGTCCTGTCGGCTGGCATGGTCTTGGAGAGAAAGCAGAGCTGCGTGGTCGCCGGAGAGCCACAGAGAGCAAATGAGCTCCAGAAGGTGATTCTTACGGTGAATGACAAGGGTTGATATTATATTATACTATGGGCTACAGGGTACTTTAAAGATAAGAAAACAAAAGCATATCTATACCAGCCGGGCGTGGTGGCTCACGTCTGTAATCCTAGTACTCTGGGAGGCTGAGGCAGGCGGATCGCTCAAGGTCAGGAGTTCGAAACCAGCCTGAGCAAGAGCGAGACGCTGTCTCTACTAAAAATAGAAAGAAATTAATTGGCCAACTAAAAATATATACAAAAAATTAGCTGGGCATGGTGGCACATGCCTGTAGTCCCAGCTACTCAGGAGGCTGAGGCAGAAGGATCGCTTGAGCCCAGGAGTTTAAGGTTGCTGTGAGCTAGGCTGACACCATGGCACCCTAGCCAGGGCAACAGAGTGAGAGTCTGTCTCAGAAAAAAAAAAAAAAAAAGCATGTTATACTTACAGTGGTGCTAGCAGATCACTCTAAAAGATACAGAATCCTGAGGAGACAATTTTACACTGGGAATACCTCACTCTGCTGAAGAAGCTCTGTCAATCCATCCTTCAAGAAGAGTTCCTGACCTGGATATGACTGTTTTGGCCAAACTCCCTAGTTTGGAAGGTGAAACTAAGCATAGCTTCTTTCCTCTGATAAACAAAGTAACTTTGTCATAAAATTTGGTGGCCGTAAACCCAGTGTGGAGGACCACGGGGTTCCAGCCCAAGGGCACAGAGGGTTGCAGCTCTTATCACTGTCCACAGGCTTCCCAGTACAAGGAAGAAAGGGGGTGGGGGGTCTCGCTAAGACCTGCATGCCCCCAGGAAGTGCTGGGCTGGGTCCCCTAATCAGGGAAGGACAGCAGTCTCATCATCTGGCAGTGCTAGCAGATTCGCTGGTCACAGCATGCACTAGAGGGCACGTCCTGTTCCTCGGACTGCCCTTCAGGGAGGCCAGAGGGCTCCTTCAGTGGAACTGAGTGGAGTCCTGGCTATATTGAGAGTGGCCAGGCATTCAGGGGCCAGGCTGAACTCACACACGTACCCATCGATCTCCTCAAATTATACACCTAAAACCGACCACCTCCTCTATGTCAAACATATCATTCATGCTCCCATTTTTTAAAATCTGTCTTATAATCCAGGGCCTATAGGCTTCAGCTAACTTTGAGTCAGTCTGGCGACCATAAAGAAATGGCCTCATTGTACAGCAGTTTTTGTTTGGAGGGCCCATGTCCCACAGAGGAGATTTTCCCAGGAACCTTTCCAAACCAAGACCCTATGAAACATGCTCATAAAATATGGTCTAACCTTTGACAGATCTGAAACTGTGAAAGTCAAGAAATGAATTATAAATGGAAGCAAGACAGGTAGGAACTCTTCTTTATGATGTTTAATGACACAGAGCTTCCCAAAGTAATCCAAATCCAATACATCACAAAATTATTCATGCTATTACTACTATCTACTCCAAAAGCAAAATACCTCAACTGCAGCCCTGGCCCCAGTAGGATTTCTCCACACTGAAATAATTCCTTAAGAAATAAAAAGTTAAAATAGAAATAATTCAAACAAAAGAGTTAGCAGGTCAGGAAGTGAAGGGGAAAAAAATCATAATTTAGTGAGGAAAACAAAAATAACTTTAAATAAGAATAGGCATTTAATATATTATTAAATCAAATTAAGGAGTTATGCTCAAACCATTTAGAAAAACCTGAACATTGAACATCACAGTGTATATTTTAACAATAACTGAAATGAGATACCAATTCATTAGGGCTGATTTCCTTCAGTTGTTTATGTAAGGGGCCCTCCTCCAAGAATTGTACCATAACATTAATGTAACACAGTATTTTCTAGTTTTTAATGACTACTCGGAGGTGACATAAAAAGAAGAAATTGACAGCTATAATTTCAAAGACACTAAGAACATACAAGCACATGTAATTTAAGCTTGCTGTGTGCCTTCCAAAGGTGGAATGCTTGTGGTAATACAGGTTGAGTAGACCTTATCTGAAATGCTTGGTACCAGATGTATTTGGGGATTTTTTGGACTTTAGGATATTTGCATATACTTGGGGACAGGACCAAAGTCTAAACACAAAAATCATTTATGTTTCATATACACTTCATACACATAGCCTGAAGGTAATTCTATACAATATTTTTAATAATGTCTTGCATGACCAGCCAGGCATGGTGGTGTACACCTGTAGTCCCAGCTACTCACGCAGTTGAGATGAGAGGATTGCTTGTCTAGAAATTTGAGGTTGCAGTGAGCTATGATGATGCCACTGCACTCTAGCCTGGGCAACAGAGTAAGATCCTGTCTCTAAAAAATTTAAATAAAAGATAACATAAAATAAAAATAAGGTGTGCATTTGACTGTGTTTTGACTGAGACCCAGCGCAGTGGGTCACTGGCCATTCTGTAATTGCACACTGTGGAATTTCCCACTTGTGGAATCATGTTAGTGCCCCAAATTTTTGGATTTTGGAGAATTTTGGATTTTCAGGTTAGTCATGCTCAACCTGTATATACCTTTATTTGGCTGAAATTCTGAGAAGAGGACAGATGAGTTTTTTTCTTGTTTTTGTTTTTAGAGCTTCTTTTCTACTTTAATTTTCAGTTTTGTTTTCCTAATTTATCTAATGAACCAATTCCTATGATTATAATGAGAAAAGAAAACTTAGCTCTCACTGAATCTTGTAAAAACTAAAAAGTGTGTTAGGGTATTATCTTAGTCCATTCAGGCTGCTATAACAAAATATCTTAGACTGGGTAATTTTGACAGAACAGAAATTTATTTCTCACAGTCCTGAACACTGGGAAGTCCAAGATCAAGTTGCCGGTAGGTTCAGTGTGTGGTGAGGACTTGCTTCCTGATTCATATACAGCTGTCTTTTTGCTGTGTCTTCACATGGTGGAAGGGGTAAAGGAGCTCCCTGGAGTCCTTTTTATAAGGGTACTCATCCCATGCATAAGGGGTCCACCCTCATCACCTAATCACCTCCCCAAAGGCCCCACCTCCTAACATCACCAACTTGGGGTTAGGATTTCAACATATAAATTCTGAAAGTACACAAACATTCAGACCATAGCAGGCATGGTAGAGGGAAATGCTAAGGTTATAGCATGAAGGAAGGATGAACATTTCCATTTTCAGGCCTACTCTTCTCTGGATCTGTGCCGATAAAGACAAATGTCCCTCTAGTCCCCCTTCATCCCATCCCTTTTCTCTTCCTGCTCCCTCAATCTCTGTAAACATTTCATAAGGCACTGTACTAATTTAAAATATGGTTTTTCCAGTCATATCTGTAGAACTTATTTACTTAAAGTAGTTCTTTTAGAGAGATATTTGAGGAAGGTTTTGCTCCTGACAAATTTATTAAGAATTCCTTGGGGAAAAGGAGGGATAGGGACCAGAAGGAGTAGTTTACACTACAGTCCAAAGAAACTGTCCCCCTCTTACAAATTTATGATAAAAATTCAACCTTTAAAACAAGATCTAAATTCTCCAGGTGTACTGCTCTCTTGTCCTAGGTTTCCAGTGTATTACATATAAATCACTAAAAACAAACAACCAACAAATTTATCAAAAAGAGAAAGTCAGCTTGACAATCTTTCCTGGAGGATTTATCAGGTTATTCCTCTACATAGCAACTTACTCTAGCTTGTATAAAATTTAAGTTGAGTGAATGAGAGAGAGAGAGAGAGAGAGAAGGAAAAGGGGAGACAGGGAGGGAGGAAGAGATAGGAAGAAGGGAGAGCAGAAAAAAAAGAGGAAAAAATATCTTTCAAGAACACATCCACTGCAAAAAATGAAGAACACCTGAAAAGACATCTTGACATTTCAGTTAGAATTCTAAGGAGTGCCTTCCAAATGGAAATGCACCTGCCACCCAACTGTTGTGATTTTCTATTTCATGTTCAAAACAAACACACAAACTAAAATATACATTTTCCAGTGTGACAAGAAATTGTGAGCCCCAAACAGCATTTTAATCAACAACTCTTACCTGGATGGGCACAAAAGATTGAGTATAGGGTTTGATTTAAAGGGGATTAGACACTGGTGACTCGATACAGACAACAAAGATTGTTGCTCACTTCTCTAAGGATGTGTCAGTTGTCTGGGTGAGAGAGCTCTTCATGATCCTCCTCCAGCTTCCATGCATTTTCCCCTGAAGAATTGGAAACATCACGTACCACAGGTGGTGCTGAGAAAAAGGCGAACAATCAACATAGCCAAGGAGAAAGAATGATTTCATTCTACCCTGACCTTGGCCTGTAGTTCTGCCTGGGGATCGCCTGGTCTCTGTCCCTTTCCCCTGGATTCCTAGGTCAGAATAAGGCAGTGAGCACCCATGTGACCTTGGGCAAGTTACCTCTATGTATAATATGGGGACCATGGTAGTCAAGAGTAGTTACTTCCTAGTATTATTGTGAGCAGTTCGTACAGCCCTTGGGTATGCAGTAAATGTGCCAAACAGTGCTAGGTGGCATTAAGCTGAATTGTTAAACACATTCCAATCAACTGTATTCTACAGAACAGTTATTTTTGAGCACAGAAGGGATCAGTATGGGGTTGGGGGCGTGTTCGGCCAACCGCAGAGATTCTCAATCCTACATGTGTGTCAGCATCTCACGAAGAACTTTTGTAAAAATACCAATGCCAGCACCACCTGTAGAGATTCCAATTAAATTGGCCTGGAGTGGGGCCTAGACATCAGTATTTTTCTAAGCTCCCCCGGTGACTCTAATGCGTGCTGAGGACTGCTGACCCAGGGACCTGCCTTGTGATGTGGGCGCATGGTCACTGCACGTGTGGTCTGTTGGAGCTCCTGGGACGAAAGGAGGTGCACCCTTACCATCACGTCAGTCCCCACAAGCCACCTCATGACAAATCGCTCAGCGGCTGGTGACCAATCAGAGGGTCCGGCACCGAATGATGGGGCTTGGAATCTGCAGGCTGGCTTGCTTTTGGCTTTGGTTGTAACAGAGGTGCAGAGGTCCCAGTGAGAGGATGTGAAATGGCACCTGCCAGTGAGGACAGGTGAGGCTAGGAGCCATGCCAGCCATTGTCATAGGAGCTGGACACCTCCTGAGCCATGCTGGACCAAAAACCAGCACTTTAATTACTTTTTGTCCTTTATTTTTTTCTTCCCTTGGTTAATTTCCTTTTAGCTGGAATTTTAGAAATGGTTGGAGCTACAGTTCTTTTCTGGGTCTGAGGAAATCCAGGCCTGAGTTGCATGCTGGCCCTCCAGCAGGGAGCATTATAAGGTGACCATGCTCCCACTGAAGGCCAGGCATTGGGGGAATCTGGGAACCAGGGAGATGCTCACAGGATGGAGAACTCAGTGGGCCAGAGTCGGTACAGTCTGGTCACAGAAGGCACAGGCTTGACTCTGCCTGGGGGACCAGAGGTTTCACAGAGGGGCCTTTCAGCCCAGGCTTGAAAGTGACTCTCAGTATGCGTGTAGCAGACACGGGCAGTCAGCTCACACACCTGGTAAGCGCCAAGAGGTAACGGCAATCATGCCTTCTAAGAGCACTGATAATCGGATGGGTATTTTTTGGTTTGGGGGGGCGGGGCGTTGTTTTTAGGTGTTTGGTGTTTTGTGGCAAAATTCACCATTTAAAAGTGTACAAGGAATACTCTGTTTTATACCAAAAGTCTCAAGTCCCAAAGCATTCAGAATAAGAAGTAGATGTATTCCAACCCCTTCTACTAATTTCTGCCCTTTTTGCTTAAGACTAGCCAGAGTGAGCTGGGCTTCTTATAACCACACAAGCCTCTGCTAACACAGCAGTCTAGGAGCCCTGCCTTATCAGGAATCCAGGATTCAAGCAGTGGGGTTAGGGGAAGATGGTATGGAGAGATACCAGGGAAGCCCTATACGCATAGTCCAAACTATTGGTCCAAACTGCCTGTTATATGGAAAACCTATTTTCCAAGACAGAACTTGCACTTTTTTTTCTCACCTTCTCTCTGTCCCCTCACATTAGTGTGCACATACCAGCTGGTTTGGGGCTTTATGTAACTTGATATTACCCAAGTTGAAATTCAATGCAATTTGGCATTTGGTAATTACATGGGGTATGTTCTGTACAACCACCTAATAAATGTCTAGATGACTGTTTTGGCAACCAGAGATTGAGTGGCCCAGAATCCATCCTTTCATCTACCAAGCAGAACGTCCCAAGGTTGAAGCCTACAGAATGGGCAATTACTAAGCTTCCTCCACAAGCCTCTGTGCTGAGGGCAGGGAGCCCTGGCCAGCCCTGGGACAAGGCGACTTGTGCCCAAAGGCATGAATGGCCTCAAACCAGACTCTTAGGAGCCTGACTACAGTGAAAACCTAGCAGGTCATGCCACCTCCTTTATTGTTTAAAAACACTCATAATTATTTTGATGCTGCTGGCATGACGACTATACAAATATGACATATTGGATCCTAGAGGGAGACATCCAAGGACAGTGTTCAAACTCTGCTTGGGTTCCAAAGGGCTCCCCTTTACATACCTGCCATTCACTAACCATACCGCCTTAAGGTCCCTATATTCTCTGTGCCTCAGTTTCCCTAACTGTAAAATGGAACTAATGATAGTACCTATCTCATAGAGCTAATCTGAGAATGAAATATGTATCTCCTTTAATACATGTGAAGTATTTGGACCAGTTCTTGGCCCTTAGGAAGCATGTAATGAGGAAGAACTATTGTCATTCTGGGCCTGGGTCAAAAAAGGAAAGGAAGAGAATACTAAGAAATGAAGACACCTCACAGTATGGCCAACTACTTGCCACACGTCTGAATTCTAGAGTTGCCTCATTCAACATTCACTTACAAAAAATATTTACTGAGCACCAACCTTGGTGGAGGGTCAGTGACCAGGGACAGCAGCAGGGTGGGGGTGGGAAGGCAGATTCCTGCTCACGACACACGCCTAGTATGTGTGTTTGAACAGTTAAGTGGGATTCCCACTGTAGTGCGCTGAGTGCTGCATATGAAGGAGCGAGCAAGAGACAGAGTCCCTGATCTCATGAATGCTCCATTCTGGTAGAAGAGACAGACTTTAAACAATCAACCCAACTAAAAAAAACATAATAATAACTTGCGTCATACTTTATGAAAGAAAAGGGAAGCGTGCTGAAGGGCATGTGTCGGAGGGGGAGCATATGACTTCACGGGAAGTCACGAGACCTGAAGGAGACAGGCAGACGTTACCCAGGCAGCGTCAGGAAGATGTATTCCAGACGAAGAATACGACATGTGCAAAGGCCCCAAGACAGCAAAGAGCTTGTGTTCAAGGAGCTGAAAGAAGGCTAAGAGTGAGGTGGGGCCGGATACGGTGGCTCACTCCTGTAATCCTAGCACTCTGGGAGGCTGAGGTGGGTGGATCACTCAAGGTCACGAGTTTGAGACTAGTCTGAGCAAGAGCAAGACTCTGTCTCTACTAAAAATAGAAAGAAATTAATTGGCCAACTAAAAATATATAGAAAAAAATTAGATGGGCATGGTGGTGCAGGCCTGTAGTCCCAGCTACTCGGGAGGCTGAGGCAGGAGGATCGCTTGAGCTTGAGGTTGCTGTGAGCTTGAGGTTGCTATGAGCTAGGCTGACGCCAGGCACTCTAGCCCGGGCATCAGAGTGAGACTTTGTTTAAAAAAAAAAAGAGTGAGGTGGGGCGGGTGGGGAGTAGAAAAGGAGGTGAGAGAGCTGGCAGACACGCACCCTGTCGCTGTCATACTGAACGGAAGAGGCGCGTGGTTCTTGGGCCCCCTCCACATCTCCTGTCCACCACCCTGTCTAGTCCATATTGATCTCAGGAAGCTGAAATTCTTTTAGCAAATGAAGATAAGAAGAGGCACTTAAGCCGCTTACTTACAAAAGACAGCAGCTTAAAAATATCTCTGTTCATGCAGTGAGTATTTCTTCAGAGGGGAGCCTGGTTTTTCACAGATATAATTTACTTCAGAGGTTGAATCTTCCTACAACAAAAAGAAATCCAGCAACTGCATTGACCACAATGTAAAAGAGATCAGTGATATCCAGATGTGTGGTTTTGTATCTAAGAGATCTGTGCCTCCCATTTATGCCATGTATGGAGTTCACACTATATATGTGTATATATAGATTTTTTTATTTTTTCCTTTCTTTCTTTTCTTCTTCTACTTTTTTTTAAGGGATTCCTTACTTGAAAAGATTAGGAATTAAACAAAGCCAAGGCCGTTGCAGAAAGGAAGTAAAGTAATCCACTACCTCCACAGCTAGGATAATCAATGTTCATTTATAAGTGCCATTCTATAAATCTAGCATATGCCAGTATTTAAAAGGCAAGATGCTAGGCCATGCATGGTAGTTCACACCTGTAATCCCAGCACTCTGCCAGGCTGAGGCCAGAGGATTGCTTAATGCCAGGAGTTCAAGACCAGCCTGGGCAAGAGCAAGACCCTGTCTCTATAAAAAAAAAACAGAAAACTTAGCCAGGCATCATGGCACACACCTGTAGTCCCAGCTACTCAGGAGGCTCAGGTGGGAGGATCGGTTGAACCCAAGAGTTTGAGGTTGCAGTGAGCTATGATCACACCACTGCATTCCAGCCTGGGCAACAGAACAAGACCTCGGCTCTAAGTCAAGATGACTAGTTCAACCATACCGGCATGGCTAAATTCAGCCACCGGGGGCACTGTTAACCTTTCATTTGAATTCTTCTGAAATGGTGAAAAGTCTCTCAGCTGTATACCTGTAGCACACACAAAGTCCTGGATATATCTACCGTGTTTCCCTGAAAATAAGACCTACCCATAAAATAAGCCCTAGCAGGATTTCTAAGCATTTGCATGATATAAGCCCTACCCCAAAAATAAGACCTAGTGATGGGGGTGGCTACACAGCGTATCATGCAACCCATGCATTTCGTTGGGCAGCGGTAAGGAAGATGAGCAGCCTTTCTCATCTGCCCCATGAGAGCTCTATTGCTCGACATGAGAGATCAGGGCCAATGGTTCTAAAGGAAATAGAGTTGCAAGAAATTCACGATGGAATTTGGGATTTGGAAAGTTATGATGATGTTCCAGAAGACGATGACTTAACTATATTCAAATAAATGTAGATTGTTGTACCGTACCATACTTAAAAAAAATAAATAAATAACATATCCCCTGAAAATAATCCCTGGGGGGCATCGAGGAAAAACAAATACAAGACCCTGTCTTATTTTCGGGGAAACACAGTACCAATGGATCGGAAACACTCCCCACACCCACCTCTACTTGATGAACGTTGTGTCCCAAATTAGCTGCCTCTCATGTCTCAGATCTAAGCTCTACTGTCGCCTCCTCAGGGAGCCCGCCCTAACTCCCAACCAAGTCAAATAGCCCCCACCACACACTCTCAGGACAGCAGGTACTCTCCTTGGTAAGCATCGCCATTTTACATTTATTTCTGTGGTTACGTGATTAACGTCTGTCTCCCTCACTAGACTGAAAGTCCCAGTTCCCATGTTATTTTGTCAGTGAAGATCTAGTGTTATCAGAAACCCTAACCTTGCTTGGGTGCTGCTGAGCTCTGTGGGATGACAGAAGACTGCATACCCTTTCATGGATCTTCTTCCAGGTGGATGCAAAACTGGGATGGGACCTGCTCAACAGATTAAATGGGGTGGAGTATTATGCAGCTACTAAAAAGAACACTTACATAAAACACATACCAGTATGGATGGATATAAAAACTTAACCATAAGGAAAAAACAGCAACATGCAAAATGGTATACATAGTGTGATTTCAATGCTTTTATTAAGAAAAAGCACTGGCGAATAAAAACCACCAAGATGTTAAGAATGGTTTGTGTTCAGGTGTGGCTGTGAGTGAATATTTTCTTTGTACCTTCCTGAGATTTTCAGAGATTTCTCTCATGAGCAAATACCACTTTTACATTTAAAAATTTAATCCAAGATGGCGGATGAATAACACCGCCAGACAGAGTGTCTCTGAGGAAAAGACAGATTCTAGCAGAAATTAGAGGAAAGAAGCAAGAATATGAGCATACTGCGGACGAGGGCCGGAAGGAGGGGTACCTGAGACCCCGGGAGACTCCACGGGAGGAGGCTGCGGAGGAAAACTGGAGGCTGAGACCACCGGAGCAGCCTGGAGACCAGCGGCAAGGGTAGGTGGATTTGCTGTTTCCCCTCCCCTGCATTTGGGACTGCTGGTGGGCTCCCGAGCGGGTGGAGAGACCTGTGGTCATCAGCCCAGAGACAGCCGCCGCCAGCCAGCGGTGAGCCTGTAGCAGACGTGGCACCAGGTTCCCAACTTCCTCCGGGCACCTCCGTGTGCACAGACCCGAGCCGCGCGGCAGGCGCCATATTGCCTCCTCCTCCCCTCCTCTGCCGACCTACCCGCGGCTGCCAGAGAGACAATACAGCACCAGCCAGAGGCACCTCCAGGGAACGGGACCTTCCCTTTTGGACCCTACAGCTGACTCAGGGGGAACTCAGACTGTGAGCTCCCGCACGCCCTCCCTTCCAGGCTGGCCCCTGGCTTGAACGAGTGTGTTCCCAGGAGAACGGGTGCCGACTCAGAGGCTGAGAGCAGACCCACCAGCTGGGCCTCCCTGTTGGGGTGAATGGGACCGCGAATCCTTCTCACCTGGTGGGAACAGTTGAACCTGGACCCAAGTCGGACCTGCCAACCAGATCCCCTGCCCACCGAGGGCCTAGCATTGCCCGGGGCCAGAAGGTTATATGTGAACAGCCTTACTGGAGGTGTGTGTGCCCTCCAGGGGCCGATCGGCGTCCTAGAGCGGCAACACTCCTCTCCAGGAGGAGGCCGCTGCGGGGCCCAACCCAAGGTTGGTGTTCCTGCCAGGGAACCTCCCCCGCCGGCCATCACAGTCCGGGGAGCCCTGGTGGCTTTGTGGTCTGGGCCTGCTGGCCAGAGCGCCCAGGGAGTTAGCTGCGGAGTTTGGGGCTGAGGCGTTGGCAAAGAAGGCGAAGGCCCGCTCCAGACTGCCAGGTCTCAGACAGGCCCCCACCCCCACACCAGCTTATTCTGGCTGGAGCGGCGACCATTCCAGCCCCGCCCTGGGACAGCCTTTCCCTGGAAGCAGAGAACAGGAACTTTGACCCTGGCCTACGGTTAGTCAGGAGCCAGACTCTACAGTGCTTTGATACCATCTATGTCTAGACCCCTAGACATAATCAATTCTTGGATACTTCGATGACATTGCCAACCTTGATACTCTTATTCACCAATTTTCTGTAAATGGATGTAGTATTGCTAAATTTCAGTATCTAAAACCTCTTCCTAATGTTGAAACTTATTTTTTTTCTTTTTTTATTCATACCCAAGCAAGTTTAACTATCTCTAGTGTAGGTGTCTGTCAAATGTCCATAAATTACCCAAGATAACTCTCCGCTAGCTACCTGTTAGGATCCTTCTTT